TAGGGGGAAGGTCAGAGGTTTCCTGAGTCTTCTGTTTCTTAACATTAATCAGCCTAAACATTCACATGCCCAAGAGACACATTTTGGGGTGGCAAAATTTGCTTCCCTACAGGACAGAAAGCTCCCACATACCCCCTTTACCCACTCTGCCTCAGTTTCCCCTATAATTAACATCTGTCATTGGTGTGGTACATTTGTTAAAAATTGATACATTATTTATTAGCTAAAGTCCATGGTGTACATGAGGGTTCACTCTTGGTTGTGTGCATTCCATGGGTTTGGACACATGCATGACATATGTCCATCATTACAGTAGCACGCAGACTAGTTCCACTGCCCTAAAACTCCCCTGTGCTCTGCCTATTCCTCTTTCCCTCTTCTCCTCAACCTGGCAACCGCTGATCTCTTCACCATCTCCATGGTTTTGTCTTTTTCAGAATATTTTATAAAGAATGCCTAGACTCAGTTTTGCAAATATATTCACCAAATATTCAGAGTAGATGTGGGGTTGAAACGAGGAGCTCTTACTCTGTCCCTTGCACACACCTGACTTCACCTCCTTCACTCTGCATGCTGCAGAAAGCCAGGATCCTGAGAGCCACCTGGCTGGTCAAGGTGTTCTAGCCTCCAGGCCTCCAGGCTTTTGCACTGGCTGTTCCTTCTCTCTGGAACACTCTGCTCCATAGCTTTACCTGGCTGGCTGCTTCTTGTCCCTTAGGTCTTTGGCTCTTCAGAGAGATGCTCCCTGGCCTCCCTAGCTGATATTTTTCCTCCTCCTAATCTTTATCATATCCCCCATGTTTATTTGTCATAGCCATGATCAGGAGCTGAAATTATCTTTAGGTGTTTACTGTTTACCCCTAGGCCTTGTTTGTCTTGTTCCCTGCCACATTCCCAGGGCCCAGGGCATACCAAATGCTAATTGAATGAGTGCTCTTTGTCCCCTGCGTTGCTTTCTATGGTTGTAAGTTGCTGAGCCCTCTCCCAGCAAATACTCCTTACAGGACCATCAAAGATTCTCCCTCTCAGTTCTTTGGGGGCCAAAGACAAACTTTTGAAGAATTGGAAGAAAACCATGGCCCTTGCCCTCAGCACTCAATAGTTTGCATACACATATTCAAGGTTGTCTCAAGTCTTCTGCTACCCAGCCCTGCAGGTCCAGGTAAGGGTACCTGACATACAAAGAATTCTGGAAAAATCAGGTCAACAGACATGCTAGGTGTCCAGCATGGGTGAGCATACAGATAGCCATGTCCTCTGCTCAAACACACTATCTGTGATAGTACCCCAGTGCTCTCCTCCAAGGGGATATGACATCAGGGTCACACATTAGGCTCTGGGCTTGGTGGGGGAGGGGAAAGCTGCAGCTACTTGTAAGCTTCATGGAAGTGTAGGCCTCTGAGTGGGGTTTTGAGGGGTGAATACAAGTTTCACAAATCCAGTGACGGAGAGAAGGACATTTATTGGGTGCTAAATATATTGTTCATAAAAGCCTTACTCTAAATGAAAAGGAGTTTGGGGGTTTGGTGGTCTGTCTCCTTTGTCAGAGTGCCCAAACATGATTGCTGAGAAACTCCAACAGAACCACATAGCAAATGAGTCACTTGGGACCAAATAATTTCAAAAAGCAAAATGAGAAAAGCCTCTGGCGGGGGGGGGGGGGGGGGAAGGGGGGTGGCGGCGGAAAGCTGTTTAATGTGGATCACAGGTCATTTTGTAGATTTGCTGTGATGTGGATTGGGCCTCCTCGAGAAGTCATGCTAGGGCCCCTGAGGCCTTAAAACATCTCCGCACAGCCAGGGAGGAAAACCAACGGGCAGTCTCTTACAAAGTTAAACACACACCTCTCCTCCGACCTGGCGGTCCCAGTCCTAGGTATTTACGCAAGAGAAAATAAAGCATATGCCCACACAAAGACTTGGACATGAACGTTCCTAATAGTTCCTATAGTTCCTAATAGCCCCAAACTGGAAACATCCCAGATATCCATCAACAGGAGATTAGATAAACAATTGAGGTACATTCACGCAATAGGACGAGGCTTAGCAATAAAACCAAGTAAACTATGGAGGGGCGCCTGGGTGGCTCAGTCGGTTAAGTGTCCAAGTCTTGGTCTCAGCTCGGGTCTTGATCTCAGGGGTCGTGAGTTCGAGCGCCAAGTTGGGCTCCAGGCTGGGCGTGGAGCCTACTTAAAAAAAAAAAAAAAGTATTAAAACCAAGCAAACTACGGAGACATGCAACATCATGCATGACCCTCACATGCGTCCTGTTGGGCGAAACCAACCAGACAAGAAAGGGTCACATCATGGCACTGATTGCGTTGTATGCCGTTTAAGTTTATATGATATATACAGAAGACAGAAGTTAGTTACCTCTGGGAAGGCGCACACAGGAACCGTCTAGGATGCTGGGAATGCCTTTGATCTTGGGAGTGGTGGATACATAGGTATAAAAAAAGTCAGCAGGCTGGATATATAATTAACATCTGTCATTGGTGTGGTACATTTGTTAAAAATTGATACATTATTTATTAGCTAAAGTCCATGGTGTACATGAGGGTTCACTCTTGGTTGTGTGCATTCCATGGGTTTGGACACATGCATGATGACATATGTCCATCATTACAGTAGCACGCAGACTAGTTCCACTGCCCTAAAACTCCCCTGTGCTCTGCCTATTCCTCATTACAGTTCAGACACCTTGTTCTGTAAATGGAGAAATATAAAAAGCAGTTCTGGGAGCCCCGGTACACACACAGCCCTGGGTACGATAAGGCACTTGTTTGACAGGAAAGAGAAACTCAGCTGCCAGCCAGGGTTTATTTTCACTTTCCCGCCTGGTCCGCGGTCAGGCTGTGCAGATCGCTGCCTGCCGGGTGTGGGGAGGCGGGCACGTGAGGTCAAGGGCACAGCCCCGGCGATGGTGCAAAAAACAAGAAGGGTCGTGAGCCCCTATTTTTTTAATTAAAATAAAACCAGAAGAAGGAAACCCAGGTTGTGTCCAGATATGTTTGTCCAAGAGGAGAGAAAAGAGTAAAAGACTATACTCCAAATTGTTAATAGTGTTTTTCCCAGAAGACTGGATGAAAGGGAGAAAATTAGGACTTAGCACACCTGTCATTATCTTGGGCCACATGTTTCAGCATGCGGGGTGAGGGGGAGTAGCTTTGTGGTTTCACGCCAACAACAGGAGCTAATAGGAGGGAACAGTGCTGTGAGAACTATTTATAGTTGGCCCCAGATTCCCATGGGTAGGAACCGCCTGGGATACCTGTGAAAGAATGTAGGAGTTAGGGATCTAGGAAATGTCCAAGATGGGTCTTCTCCCCGCATGTCTGCTCTCCAGGAGAAACCTTTGCCATCACTGTTATCCCCAGTTTAAAGATGGAAGAAACTGAGGCCAACGAAGTCTGAGGCTGGCCCAAGTGCTCCCAGCCAGGAATAATCAGAGCCGGCTGTTTGTCCCCAGAGCCCCCATTTTACAAGTGGGTCCCCTGGGGCTGAAGGAGATGAGCTAAGTTATCCAAGGGCCAACTGGGGAACCCAGGTCACAGGTTCTTTGCGTTCCCCTTGAGGAATCTGGGGCAAGAGAAACCTTGGCCTGACCCTCTCGAACCCTCCTCCTTGCCCCAAAGCCTGATTTCTCTAAGACTGGCAGCCTGGGGGGGCCAGCCTGAAATCAGGTGGTAGCCCTCTGGCTGTCAGGATGACGGGACCGGGCAGCTGCCAGCCACCCCCACCCCCCACCACCTGGATTGTGGCAGGTTATCCATTGTTTTCCTGTTGGGGTACTGGGCGAGGGTCAGCCAACCATGGGGAGCCTGCCATGGTAGGGTAGGGCAACAGGTGAATGCCAACCCTTGGGCTGCCTGGTCATGCACGGCTGCTTGCCCCTTGGATGAAAGGACACTGCAGGTGGAGGGGAAAGAGGCAGTTAGGGGGAATTTGGACAGGCGTGTTCAGCCCTCTGAACCTTGGTTTGCTCATCTGGAAACAGGGCTCATAAGCTCAACCTTAGAGGTTCTGTGTAAGGATTAGAAGCAAGACCCTGGTACAGATGCCGAAGGGCAATAGAGGGTGGGAGTTATAGAGGTTCTGGAGCAGGGCTGCTTGGGTTCAAATCCTAGCTCTCCCTCACCAGTCGTGTGAGCTGGGGCACAGGGCTTAACGTCCCTCCTATTTATCCAGTCCACACGCAGCAGGTATTTGTTGAGCACCTATGGTGTGCCAGGTGTTATGCAGGGGCTCTCTTGGCCTCAGTGTGTTCACCTGCCAAATGGGAATAATGGTGCTTGCCTCATAAGATTCAGGAGGATGAAACACCATATTTCCCGAGAGGCCTGAGAGCAAGGCCCAGACCATGAACACTTGGTTTGCTGTTCCAGGAGCAGTGACCCTCCCCGAATGGTGGCTTGATGACCAGGAGGGCAGGAAGCATGTGTTTGGCCAGGGATGCTTTCCAGATCAGGCCTCTCTGCTCCCTGGCCTGTCTGGATTTTGAAATTCCTTGCTCGCTCAGGCTGGCTGAATCCTCTTGGTCCTCAGCATCCATCCCTCTGCCGGGTGGTTTGTCCAGGGATGCGGATACCTTCTTCCATAAAAAAGAAAAAAATAAAATAATATTTTATGACTGCATTGGCATAAAGATCCATATAATCCAGGCTGGAGTCATTATGGCACATTGATTATTAACCATATTTGGTTTTCCCTTTTATTTTAAAAGGACCTAAAACATTTCCATGGACCCCTAAAAGCATCCTGGCTCTAGGCACTGTGCCGGCTGAGCCCAGGGGAGAGGTCAGCCTGGGTTGGGCCTTTTCAAATCATAAATCGCCCCCCTTCCCTCTTCCTGGGAGTGCCTCCATCCCTTGGGCTGAAGGCTGGCTCAGAATTTTCCCGGCAACCGTGTTCCCTCTGCAGAATCCCACCTGGAACTTACCCCATGAGCCCTGACCCCTGCTCTTTCTGCCCCTTTCTTGAAGGGAGGAGCTAGAGGCTTACCAAAACCTTGTGACAGCCACCCCGGCAATGGACAGTTAGGAACCTTAGCAGCTGGCTCTGCAGAGGAGGCCTTCTGTGCACGTGGTCGCACCACATCTGCACCCTCCCGTCCCCACTTCGTGTCATCCTCTGCTCCTGTCGTGGGACAGATGGGACAGATGTCATCCCAGAAAAGCCAGAGAACTTGTCCAAGGGTACGCAAGGAATGGAAGGTTCAAAATCAGGCAGACAAGGGAGGGATCCCCCAAAGTTTGCCATCTCCCTCCTCGTAACCATATAAAGTATCAGCAAGAACCCCTGTGGATGTGAACTGTTGGATAAGTTATATATGTTGTATTCATTTCCTGGGGTGGCAGCAACAAGTGACCACAATCTGGGTGGCTTAAAGAACAGAAATGGGGGGGGCCTGGGTGGCTCAGTTGGTTAAGCGACTGCCTTCGGCTCAGGTCGTGATCCCGGAGTCCCGGGATCGAGTCCCACATCGGGGTCCCGGCTCAGCGGGGAGCCTGCTTCTCCCTCTGACCCTATCCCTTCTCATGCTGTTTCTCTCTCTCTGTCAAATAAATAAAAATAAACAAAATCTTAAAAAAAAACAAAACAGAAATGTGTTCTCTCATGGTCCCGGAGGCCGGAAGTCCGAAACCAAGGTGTCGGCTGGGCTGGTTCCTCCTGGAGGCTCTAGGGGAGGAACCTCTCTCCTGGCGTCCGGTGGCTGCCAGAAATCTTTGCTCTTCCTTGGATCGTAGACCCAGGCACTCCGATCTCTGCCTGAGTCTTTACACAGCCTTCTCTTAGGAAGATCCTTGTCACTGGAGTCAGGGCCCACCCCAAGTCCAGGATGATCGCATCTCCAGAGCCTTAATTACACGTGCAAAGAGGCTGTTTCCAAATAAGGTCGCCCTCCCAGGTCTCAGGGTTAGGACATGCACGTTTCTAGGGGCGATACTCAACCCACTGTAGGTGAGATGCAGGTAAAACAACAACCAGGGTATAAATAATAGTAATATCTTAGCATATGGCCTGGCACCTGACACAGGAAAAGTTATATACACATATATTTATGTATGTAAAATATCTAGTCTCAGGGGAAAAAAAATGTTGGGCTGCTCTGGTGTTTCCCGGTTTCAGAGTTTTGGCAGACGCTAGCAGGTGTGACTACAGGGGGGACCCCAATTCCCGGGTCTTAGTGGAAAACACCTTTTGTCTCATTTTGTGTTTGGCAAACATCCAGCCGTCCCTGTACCATTTTACCTGCAAGTGGGGCCCTTTGTTTTCCCAGCCTCGGGCTTTTACTCCTGCCTTCCTTGGCCCGATGGCTCCACCCTCTGAGCTATTGAGACATACTTTGTAAAAGGTGCTTACTCCCTGTTCACCCCCAGCTCCCAGGGAACTGGACCAGGTCCGGCCTCTTCATTGCTGCATCCCCTGGCCTAGAAAAGGAGCCAGGCGCGCACACACACACACACACACACACACATTTGGTGATTGCACAGATTAACTCTTTCACCCTGCCCCTACTCACCTGTGTGACCCCCCCCCCATCTATTATGTGTTAGGCCCTTGTTCCCCCTTTCAGTTCCTGGAATTAAAATCATGTTCCTGCCTCAGGGCCTTTGCTGGCCTCTTCCCTCTGCCTGTAATGCCTTCTTTTCATCCAGGTCTCAACAAAATGTCACACGCCTGCCCTGCCTTCCCAGGGCCACCGCAAACCTTTTGCACCTGCTCACATCCTTGGCCGGCCACACACCTAGATGGATCTAGATAGTGCCTTGTCCTGCCTCATTATTTATATGCTGCCTGCCTCCTTGCACCAGATCACAGTACCCTTGAGGGCAAGGGTATCGTCTTGCTCCCAGCTGCAGCCCTGGCACCTGGCAAATCATGGGTGCTCAGGAAATAATGTGTTCAACGTAGGATTACATTGTTCTCTCTCTTTAAGACAAGGGGCTTCCATCTACCATAAACCAGTGGGCTTCAAAGGATGGAGAATCCTCTATAATTGTAGGCAAAACAAGGTCCCTGTGACAGTGTTCTCCCAGAGACAGGGTCCCATTGTGCCCACCAGATTCTCCGTGGGTGGGCGCTCCCCAAAGACGGGGAACCGTCACTTTATTTAAAACTTTCATTTAAAAAAGTCTCCTATCCTAGCTGTCTCTCTTCCTCTCCCTGCTCAATTTCACTTTACTTATGATTAAACAGAGGCCCGGCTTTCTGCCTTGGTCAGGGACACTGAATAACAGGAGAGAATGTCTCAGTCTTGGCCGTTTGGATTTCACGGCACCTGGCAAACAGTCGGCGCCTCATTAATGCTGGCTAAACGGAGGGAGGAAGTCAGATCCGCGTCAGCTGCTGTGTCTGTGGGACCCTGGACTGGTGCCATGCTCTCTCTCTAAGCCCTGATTTCCTGGTCTGTGAAAAGGTGCCCTTAAGACCTGCCCTGAAGGGGCGCCTGGGTGGCTCAGATGGTTAAGCGTCTGCCTTCGGCTCAGGTCATGATCCCAGGGTCCTGGGATCGAGCCCCGCATCGGGCTCCTGGCTCGGCGAGGAGCCTGCTTCTCCCTCTCCCTCTGCCTCTCTCCCTGCTCATGCTTTCTCTCTCTCTCTCTCTGTATCTCTGTCTCAAATGAATAAATACAATCTTTAAAAAAAAAAAAAAAGACCTGCCCTGAAATCTGGAAGGAGGGACAGCAGGGCTTGTCAGCCCTGGCAGCAGGCAGAACCACCCCCGCCCCCAGGCTTACAGAATCTTGTCCTGCTCCTACCCCTCCGACTGACTGGATCAGCGTTTCTGGGGTGAGGTGCCCCCCGGCTGTATAACACAACGTATTTGGCAACAAAGATGAGTAAAGCCCTGGTCCATGCTACAACACAGATGGGCCTTGGAAACGTTCCGTGATAGAAGGCAGACACAGAAGACCACATATTGGAGGATTCCATTTATATGAAATGTGTAAAGCAAATCCAGAGAGACAGAAAATAGATTAGGGCTTGCCTAGGGTTGGGGGAAGGGGGCCGGGGGAGTAACTATAAATGGGTACAGGAGGGTGCCTTTTTGGGGTGATGAAAATGTTCTAAAATTGATTGTGGTGATGGTTGCACATCTCAGCCTAGACTAAAAACCACTTTAATTGGGTGAAATGCACGGTATGTGGGTGTCTCTCAATAAAGCTATTTTTTTTTTTTAATTTGCACAAGAGAAGAACTTCTCACCCTTGGCGAGCCAAGAGCTGGAGCTGGGCATGCCCGCAGGCCCCCAGCTGCAGAGGGAGCTGGGGCGAGGTGGGCAGTGTAGTTTCAGATATGGACTGTGGCCCCTCCATGGTCCTGGTAAGATCCAGGTTCTGGGGCCCACCCCAGCCCTTCTGAATCCCATGCTGTGAAAGAGAGGGTCTTGGGGAATTGGGTTTTGACAAACCTCCAAGGGAAAGGAGCAAACCTTCTGGTTTAAGGTGACTCTGTGTGTGTGTGTGTGTGAGAGAGAGAGAGAGAGAGAGAGAAGGGGGCACAGATGCCCCTGGACAAGCCGCTGAGCACTACAGACCCTCTGCCCAGAAAACCGCACACTTACTCTGTAGAGATCGCAGGGGATGTGGACCCCTGGGCCCCAGGGACACAGGACATGCCCCACGAGCTGCTTGTAACCAGATGTAACCCCATGAGAAATGAGCTTGCTGATTACCAAGAATTGGAGGGGAATAAACTAGAGCTAAAACTGGCCTGTGTTAAACGACCCTCATTAATTCCCTCAGTTCCTAGGAAGAGGCCCTTCTCCCTCCCACAAATCCGTTCTGTCCTGGAATTGAATGCCACTTGCCTTTAGGAAAAGAAGACATCATTTGCATTTGCCATCCTTTGCGGATTCCTCAGGGACTCTCCTGGCTTTGGCCCCACTCCGTAAGAAGGACTGCCCCTGGGAGATCACGACCCCCTCTGGGGTCTGGGAACTGGGTGCAGAGGCGCGCGTGCATGCGTGTGTGTGTGTGTGTGTGTGTGAAGGTGAGAATAGGAACAATAGTAGCTAGTGCTGATGGGACCCTGTGCTGGGCCAGGCCCGTGCTCGGTGTTCCGTGCACAACATCTCCCAGCCCCATGAGGGCAGCAGGATTATTCACATTGCACGAAGTCACTCAACCTCAGTGCCTGGCTGGGTCCCCAGAACTCAGCTTCAGACCCTCTCTTCTGCCTCCTCACTTGTGTGTGTGAAATAGTAAAACAAAAGTGTTGTTGGGGCGCCTGGGTGGCTCAGTCTGTTATGCATCTGCCTTTGGCTCAGGTCATGATCCAGGGTCCTGGGATCGAGTCCTGCATCAGGCTCCTCACTCAGTGGGGAGCCTGCTTCTCCCTCTGCCTGCTGCCCCCCCCCCTTGTGCTCTCTCTCTGTTTAATAAATAAATAAAAATCTTTTAAAAAATGTCATGCATTGGCACACCCATGGTCATAGCAGCATTATACAGAACTGCCAAAGATGGAAGCAACCGAAGTGTCCACCAGTGGATGAATGGATAAACAAAGTGTGGTCTCTCCATACAGTGGCATATTATCCAGCCTGAAAAAAGAAAGAGATTCTGATACTTACAACACGGATGAACCTTAAGGACATCATGCAAAGGAAAGAAGCCAGTCACAAAAGGACAATATTGCAGGATTTCACATAGAGGATGTGCCTAGAGTCACCAAATTCACAGAGACAGAAAGTGGAATGGTGGTTGCCCGGGGCTGGGGCGAGGGCTGGGGCATCAGTGTTTAATGGGGACAGAGTTTCAGTTTTGCAAGATGAAGAGCTCTGGAAATTGGATGCACAAGAACATAAATGTACTTAACACTACTAAATTGTGCACTTAAAAACACTTAAGGGGCACCTGGTTGGCTCAGTCGGTTAACTGTCCGAGTCTTGGTTTCGGCTCAGGTCGTGATCTCACGGTCATGGGATCGAGCCCCAGGTGGGGCTCTGTGCTCAGCGAGGAGTCTGCTTGGGATTCTTTCCCCTCCCTCCCCCTCTGGTCCCCCCCACCCCGCCCTGCTCATGCACACGCATTCTTTCTCTCAAATAAATAAAATCTTTTTTAAAAAGCAGTAAAGATGGTAAAATTTATGTTATGTGTATTTTACAACAATAAAAAAAAAATTATTGTGGC